ATTATTATTATTTCGACTAGTTTGTTTTTTAAGGTCAGATTTAATTTGTTGCAATTTATCGTATCTCTCTCTCTCTCTCTCCCTCTCTGTTTTATTTTTTAATTTTTGTTTTTTTTTTTTTTTTTGGTAAATTGTTATTTCCCTCTTAACAACATTCGTCAAATATTATATTATTCGCATAAATGAATAATTCAACGATCATCGTCGGAAACGTCACGTTTAGATAGCCGACTCCGGCTTGTGTAATACGCAGACCACGAAGACTGAATTTCCGTGTTTCCCATGCAAAACAAGGTCGGTTAATGCTTTAAAGGTGGAACCGAGAAGATACTTTAACCATAAGAGAACTTAGATTACTTCTATTTTCCTTTTTATTTCTTCTTATTCTATTTTACCTTTCTATATTCCTAGGAATAACGGTATAGTGATTTTTTCTATGTTTATAGTAATATATTTGCTATTATGCACCAGGATCACATCCTAGGTGTGTCCCCTTACAAATCACAATAATTAAACCTTATTAGGCACTACGTGCCACTATATTGCGCCATCTTCCAGTAAGATACACCACTATAGTGGTTCTCGTAAATAACATTTTGTCAAATATATTCTACTTAATTGTAACTTTTTAGCTCAATAATGAATATTAGCGTTGACTCATTTGTTGATTTTTATCTTTTGCTTGGATTAATTTTAGGACATGCGAAAGACAGAGGGGCATTGACAGGGATACTGACAGAGGTGAAGATGACGACGAAGATGAGAATCCATTGGGCAGGTGGCCACATGAACTTAGTCCAGCATTGGCTTGTCTTGGTTGTACACTTGGTCTATTCAATATCAGTAGATTCGCCATTCTTAGTATACAATTTGGAGGTAAGTTAATCAAAATATATTCACAATCAAACTCAAACCATACCAATCCAAATCATTGATTGGGATTTATTTTCCAATTGTTCAGAATGATAAAATATGATTCTAATAAATCAAATGATTCAGAATGATAAAATATGATTCTAATAAATCAAATGATTCAGAATCATTGATTGGGATTTATTTTCTAATTGTTTCGAAAACGTAAAAATGAACATGTAGGGTGGTATCATAAATAAGATCCTTGTCTCGACTGAAGTAAAAAAAATAATAGTACCTTCTCAGAGATAATTACAGGTCTCTCTCTCTCTCTCTCTCTCTCTCTCTCTCTTTGTAATTGACTATACATCAATAAAGTACTTACAGCAACGAGGTGGAGTGTCTACATTTCATTCTTATCAAAAAGTAATTTCTCTTTGAAAGTGGTTATCGATTATTCTTTGATGATAATGATCGTTCGTGTCTTCTTTCTTCGATTAAATCCCATTGTCATTATCGATCAATATAAATGATATATATATATATGTTACCGTGAATTATTATTTGTACATTAAAGGACACCACAAATGTGAAATCGATTATTTTTTGGCAATAGTTTTCTTTAAAAACATTTCCAAAATTCCTATCACACTAATACCATATTTTTTGTCGGCCGTTTTAAGGGCACCATGCCCTTTAAACGACCACCTGAATTTTGACCAATTTTATATAAACTTATTTTTTGTACATATGTAATAATTAATTTTGTTATTGTTATAGCCAACTTTATAGTACAGTTCTTGATATTATCCTTGATACTTGGAATACCATTATTGACGCTTCAAGTATGCCTTGGTCAAAGATTAGCAACCGGATCAGTCGACATGTGGAAAATTTCACCACTCTTTCAAGGAGTTGGTATAGCATTGTTAACAGCACATGCATTTATTGGAATTTACAGTATTGTGGGTGTATCTTGGATGTTCGTATACTTCAGGTGAGAGTTCAATTTCTTAATAAATAACAAAACAAAAAAAAAAGAACAATTCTTTTGATAGAGAGAGAGATGATGAACAAGTTCACATCGATTGCTTTGAATATAATGGAATTGTGATTACTTTTCTAGGGATTCGTTTATCACGAAACAAGATAGGTATCGTTGGGCAGAACCATTTCTTTTGTATCGAGAAGACAGTAAACCTACGCACAATAGTAGTACTACGTATAAATTATACGAAACTGTACCGGATTATTTCAGTGGTGCCGTTTTACAAAGGCACCATTTGAACGAGTCTGATCCTGGTGTTGTTACATTGAAATTTCAAGTTGCATTTAATTTAGCTGTCGTATGGATGATCGTATTTGTATCTTTAAGTAAAGGTACATTTTCAAAAAAAAAAAAAATAACCATTTAACAAAATGTATTCTCCTACAAATTGATCTGAAATTTGGATCAATAATATTTGGTTTTTTGTTTCTTTCTATTTTTATTAGGTTTGAGATCATATGGAAAGGTGGTCTACGTTTTTACATTAGTACCTATTTGTGGTACTTTAATTCTTTGTACTAAATTACTCGGACTAACACCACCTGGTTCAATTAGTCAGCTGTTTCCTGGCACCGTTTGGAATGAATTTTTCATTAACGGTAAATCATGGGTGGCCGCTTCCACCGAGGTTTTCCTTACCTGGGGTTTACTTGGAGCAGCTGCAATGCAGGTAAATTATTAATCATTATTGTGCATGATATTTCAAATGAAGATACTCAATGAAATTTCATTGTTGTTTAATCCTTGACCTAATATCGTTATTTTAGATAGCCGCTCATAACAAACATAAACATCTTTTACAAAGAGACACCAGTTTGGTCGTGGTATTGACTTTTGTTGTTTTACTTCTTGTTGCCTTTTTGGCCAATACCTGTGTACAAATTCTCAAACTTCATGGATACATTTATACGACTAGTTCATTTGGTAAGTAATCACTCGAGTTACATCATCTCTATTAACACGTTGAGCGCCATAATTATTATTATTATTTTTCATTTAGAGAGAATATCAGGCTACACGTTCATGCATTTGGTCAATCAACCAGCACCATCCTGGTACACGAGTACACCAGAAAGATTTATGTCTCACGCATCATTCCTAGTTGGACAACGAATTAGTAGACCTGGTGCTGATATTTCTACCGAGTCTGGTTATCAAGTATTGAGATTTTCAACTGAATTAGTACCTGCCACTCTAGCTTTGCTAGGGACCGAGCAAGTCTCACCATTTTGGGCTGTATTATTCTACTTCGTTTTAATTTTATTTGGAATAGCTCAACAGGTTGGTTAAACAATTCTCCTACGTTCTACACATTACAATTAACAAGAATCGTCCTACCTTTTCATATTATTATTTTGTATTCTTAGCTCGCAATATGGCACTGTGTGATAACTGGTATAATGGCTATCAACACGAAGATGATGAAATTGTGGGAAACTACTATAACATTTTTTAGCTGCGCCTGTGCTTACATTTTGGGTTTACCAATGGCTACAGAGGTAAGTAATTAATACTTAAGTTATATATTGATTAAATCGTTTATCTTGTAAAAAAAGAAATTGTGGATAAGCATGCAGGTTCGTTGAATTAAAGATAAAGTTTCATTTTTGTACCTTTTACTCATCGCTATGATGACGCACACACATTCGTAAAACGTATGACTTAACCCAGAACTGTATCGAAGAATGAATTACACATCCAGATCACAAGAGACATACACAAACATATATGCGTGTGCTTGCACGTGTATATATAACGTGCTTAAACGCGTTATCAAGTTAAAATCGTAAGTGTTTAAACTTCATACATCGTTGGTTAATACTGTTAATACTTTCCATGGCATCTTTATCAGCTCGTATCAGAGGAACTTTCGTTTGCTCAGATAGTTTTTATCAGTTTCTTGCTTGAACGTTCCAATCTTCAATGTGATGATCTGTTATTAACATCTGGTGAATAGTATTCAACGGTTTGGTATATAAAATTTGATAGAATGAATAATAATAATAATAATAATAATAATAATGCACATGCCGTGGTACGTCGTAGCGTGCCGTGTTATTTTTGTAACGAATTTTTGGAAGAAAGATATTTGTCGGAACACGTTAAACATTGTGGCGCAGTGTTAGAGGAATGTCCACATAAATGTGGTGTTTACGTGCCAAGAAGGAACATGCAGATACACGATAGATCGTGTTTGAAGAAAATATCAAAGAGAAATAGCGAGATCAAAGTAGATCCGAATGATTCTATGTGGAAAGAAAAAGTATTGTCCATATTGACTTTATTACGTGGTGCAATAGACGATACGGAAAGGGAACGTAAACGTTTGAACGAGACGATGATCAATAATTTTGCTTTATTGCATCGCAAACAAGAAATACTTGAAATGATGCGATTGAATACGATCGAATCGTTAGAGGAAACTCGTAAAAATAATTCAACGTTGGAACAAAGATTGAATAATCTTGAATTGGGTTGCGATAGTATGGAACAACGTACTTGCATGAGCTTTCAAAAGATCTCGGAACAATTGCAATTATTGCAGATGGGTTTAAACGAGGAACAAAATAAACAGGACAAATTGTTCGACGATTGGATCAAAGATTTGAGCGAATTGAAAACGTTCGTTGCTAAAGAAAGTATACTTGTCAGTGGTATATGGCAAGAACAATTACAGAGAATTCACGATTTGAAATTAGAGTTAGAGATGAGATGTAAGGATTCGAAAGATTTGATAAAGAAATATGAAGAACTTCAGGATAAAATTAATTCCATTGGGAAAGAAACTCGTGAACTTGTTCGTACAACTAACGAACAACGAAAGGATATAAAAGGGTTGAGGTTTCAAGCTAAAGAAAATGTGATTTACCTTGAAGAACTTGTTAAAGATAGTAGTTTGAAAGTTTCAACTTTGGAAAATAGTGATAGCAGTGAATGTAAGTGTTGTTTAAGAGAACTCGGACCATTTTCTACGAACGGTCGTCTCATATGGCGAATTGAAAGATATAAAGAAAAAATAAACATTGCCAAGGAAGACGATAGTCCGATTTATAGTCCAATATTCTTGAACAAGGATTACGGATATACCCTTAGAATGGAATTGTTTCTTAACGGTCTGGGTCAATGGAAAGATCGTCACGTTATTGGATGCCTTAAAGTAGAAAATGGGAAGTGGGATCCATTGTTAGATTGGCCTTGCATTTTACGAGCTACGGTTATATTGAAGGATCAAGATAATCCTGCTAACGATTTGCGAAAAATCGTTAAAAGTGTTAGACGCGAGAATAGTGATACGGAAAAGCCTGATAAAGAATCTGGGTTGTATATGTTCATTCCTCACACAACTTTGGCTAGACATTCAGGATATACCAAGAACGATGTTATATTTTTAGAAATTCAAGTGAAGGATATAAAAAAGAGTGATTCCATGCCGTCCTTACTTACATAAATTGTTGCTAATATTATCGGTTAGCTAATTAACTAAACTAAACAAATAAAATCAAATAAAAAAGAAATTAGAATAAATATATGTATATGAAATTAACTGTCCATTGTATAATCCTAGTAACACTGTTATATGTTTCTATCAACCTTTTCCTTCTATTATACAGTTGGGCATTTACGTAGTGTATTATCTGGATTATACGGTTGGTGGTGCATGGTGGATAATGGTTCTATACTTGATACAAGTCGCTGCTGTCTTTGCTGTAAGAGGACGACCACACAGTGGAGAAGCTGTAGTTGCTGAATTATTTCCACCAACGGGACGATGTCTTAGACATTGGGCTGGCCCACTTCTGTCCTTCACGTGGAATGTTATATTACCAGTGACTTTAATGGTTCGTTAATATTTAATATTTAAGATATGTCAAAGAGCGAGCAATCGAGTTGTTTTGTAATTTAATTAATTATCTGTATTTATTGTGTAACAGGTACTAAGTATTACCGTGTTCAAAAATTACGGATATCGAGAGTTTTTTTCTTATCGTCGAACGAACAAAGAATACTGGGCTGTATGGGCGAGACAATTGGGAGCAGCGATACAATTAATCCCGTTATTAACGATCCCAGCTGTAGGAGTAATACAAACTTGTCGATATTTAAATAACGGTTCACCTGATACCGATATATTCGACGTAAGTGTAAAATCATTATACTAATTCTTTTGTATCTCATCTATCTTCTTATAAAGCGAACAAATAATTTCTCTGTTATTGCTAACAATTTAGAACGAACAAGTGGAAATTAGCGTAAGTCACTGCGAACAGTGCAATGGCGTAAGTTTATATAGAATTGAGATGTAACGATAAATGTTATTAAAAAAGAAGAACATAAATATATACATAAATAATATTGATTTTGAAATAATAATTAAAATCGAAAATAATTTGTTTTACAGAGAATTCAACTATTGTATCGTCCACCACTTGAAACTGATGATCCAGCGGATACTCAAACACAAATTGGTGGTAACGATACCAGTACCAGTATTCATGGTAATGGCATATTACCTACTACGACAGATGTACCATTCGAAGATCCACCACCAAAATATACACCTCCACCCAGTTACACGACAGCAACTGGGGCAAGGATAGCAAAAATGTTGCGTCAAAGTTTTCGAAGAAGCGTTAGACGTATTGCTAACGTTTTAGGAGAGAGTAGTGCACCAAGGCAAAGGCCAGCATTGCAACCACCGCCACCAGATTATGCTACAGTTTTAGTTGAAATGAATCAGAATACTCGTGGTCATGGAGTAGTAGACGTTTCAATAAACATGAACAACGAGTCTAGGCCAGACGTGGTGGTAGCAACTACTAACATTAGAAGAAGTACTCGCAATGAAAGATCCGCTACTGTACTTGGTATCGGTGATAATAATAGACACAGACCAAACACCATTGACAGAATGACTAGGATCAATTCTTTAGATGGTAGTAATAGAAGAGTCACCGTAGAACGTACGCATTCCACTTTGGAAAGAGGAACTCGTAGCAGAGGATGTAATAATAATTTGACCAACAGTAATATTATTTCATCTGTTGCTAATGCTGGCAGCACAAATCTCACAGCAGCCGACGTGGCTAATCTTTTGCGAAGTAGTATCAGAAGAGGAACAACTAGAACCCAACAGTCCCTACGTAGAAGCTTCTGTCAAGACGAACCGACCGCGGCGGTGTCCGTTCAGAATCTAGTCGAGGCCGCTGCGCCGATCGGTCAAGACTCCTTGGTCCTTCCGAAGGACGTCTCTCTAGTCCCCAACGAACACGTCGACGATGATCGCGATGACAAGAAGACTGCGGACGAAATGGACAATTCCATTTCTGTGATATAGACTTCGTGTGTGTATCCCTTCTTCTCCTCCTCCTCCTCCTGTATTTTAAATTACCCCAATAACTTCTTCACATTATCCTTTTTCGTTCATTCAAGCTTGCTACAATACTCCTTTCTCAAATATCATTCACATCACACAACGCGACACCTTTGAATATTTTTGTCTTTCTTGTCGACTAAAATAAATTTGTTGACTACTTTGTCTTTGTTTACATGTAAATTAGTACAACACGCGTATTTTGCTGTTTCTCTTTTTCTTTTGAATTAGAATTATGTTTATACTGTATTTATTTTTAAAACTATTGTTTCTGTCCTATTGTCTCGCGACGTATTCTTAAATACTTTTCACATTTGTATCATTCACAGTTATATATATATATATATATATACCGTTGGATGACCTTAAAATAGTTTTTTTTTTCTTTATTATTCGCTCACGAATATATTGTAAATGTGTGTGTATGTGTGTGTTCAAAATGTCATTTAATTTAGCGGAATTACTGCCTAGCTCTTCGACGTAAAGATTATTCTTGTCTTTATTTCCATGAGCAAATAATAAAAAGAATTGAAAAAAAAAAAAAAGAAATATAAAATAAAAATCACATTTTTTTGTTATCGGCCTTAATAAGTTAATACTCTCACATTTGTTGATGCAATAACAACAAAAACAACAACAACAACGACAAGGAAAATATATAAATTGGATGTTGAATTAATTTTTTTCACGATTGCAACTTTTTAGCTGGGATCACTTTTTTTAACTCTATAATTGGTAATTTATAATTAAATAATATAAGCCACGTACAAATATAATATTTTCTTGTAATATAATAATCTCCTGTATTTGATTATTTTGTTTTTTTTTTTTTCTGGAGAGAGATTCGTTACCTGTAAATATTTTATTTTGTATGAATTTAATTTAGAATGTGGGCCAACCGACTACTTATTATTAAATATATTTTCTAGAACCTGTGTATATATATATATATATATTTATACAGGATGCAATAACAACAGCTGTGTCCATCTTGAATATCTCCTTTGTTTATAATGATATTAACAACAACAAAAAAACAAACAAACATTAATAACTTTGAAATCTCGTAAAAAAAAAGAAATAACCTTAAGGAACAATTGTGTTCACCGTTAAATTTTCCCTGTAATTTTCTTCTTTTTTTTTTTAAACTATGATTACAAACAAAGGAATTATTTAAGATGAATAAAAAGTTATTGCAACACACCACCCCATTTATATATATATATATTTGAGTGTACCAAGTGTATAGTCCGTCCATTAAAAGATAACACAATTTGAAACGATTCAATGAGATACGTGTTGTAATGAAAAATAAATAAACATTATACATTTGAAAGTAGTGATTTGTTTAGATCAAAAAAAAGAAAATTAATGTATAATTTGCATTACTAAATACACGATGGGTTGATCGGATAAAAAACATAATCAAAAGACTACGTAAACTGTTCGAATTCCCGATTCGTTCACCGATCATCAAAAAGAAAAAAAGAAAAAAATACAGTTAAACAAATCTTTTATATATATATATATATACAGGAGGGTCGTATTTTCTCGTGTTTGTTCAGTAATCCATGGTGTGGTCAGTTATCCGAATAGAAAAAAATCTTTTTCGAAAAAGATATTCCCATATTGTTCAATTTGTTGTCGCAGTTCCCGGTATTATTCGTTTTAACCGATCATCCTGTTGTATATAAAAAATGTCTCTTCTTTTTTCTAGTTGTGTAATATATTATTATATTATAAATTAATCGATGAACAGCTTTCTATCGTTAAAATAAATGTAATTTGCTATTATACCTGACATAATGGACCATAATAAAGTTTTTATGTTCTTTTATAATTTCTTTTTTTCTAGTTTTCTCAGTGCGTGCAGGTGTTGTTTATAGTGTGTGCATGTGGCATGGTATTTGTTTGTGTTTCTTGTTGCTCTTCCTAATTATTAAAAATATAGTAGTAATAATAATAATAATAATAATAATAATAATAATAATAATAATAATAATAATAATAATAATAAAGTGTTGGATGTTTTGAGATAATAAAAACTTGACGCAACTAGCACATCTTTTTTTTTCTTTTTCACAATTAATTATTAATTTATTAAATATCTAGACGATTGCGAAAAGTAGTAGGTAGTAGTAATAGTAGTAGTAATAGTAGTAGTAATAGTAGTAGTAATAGTAGCAGTAGTAGTGTAGTAGTAGTAATAGTAAAACAAAAAGAACAAGAAAAAAAGAATTTTTAATATTCATAATCCACTTGTTGTTTTTTTTGTTTTGTTTTTGTATTAATTATTTGTAAACATTAAATAAAAGACATACCTATACATTATAATAAATAAATAAAGTAATCATGAGTCGCGGTAATTATGTGAATAACCTTATTACTGTATTATAATAGGATATTTTTCTTCAAGCGGTGCAGCAATTTAACAAAATAATATTTTCACGTATTATATTAAAACACATTTCTATTTAAAAATATTCATAAATTTACTTATTTTCCTTTTTTTTTTTTTCTTTCTTTCTTTCTTTAAATAGAACAAATCTTACGACTATTAAATAATAACAACAAACATATAAAAGAAAAATGTACGTGGTTTTAACTTTACAAATAGGCCATAGAGCAGCTGTGCGAAATTGATTAATTGTTATTTAAATTATTTCATTGTTTATTATTATTATTACTCTATTATTATTATTATTATAATTATTATAATAATAATTATTATTAACAGAACAAAAACAAAAAAGAAATAAAAAATAAAAAATAGCTGCAACGCTGAATACAAAAAAAAAAAAAAATATCCCACATACAACAACAAATCTCATTGTGTGCGGAGTGTATGTACATACATACACACACTTATTTAAATATACCATTGAATTATTATTTTACCGATATATAAATATTTCTATAATTACTTTTAATAACTTACATCTTGAGTACAAAACATAATGTAACTTTTGTTTACAGCAAAATCATTTCCCAAAGCAACAACAATGATGATGTAGCAACAGCGGCAGCGATAAGAGATAAATGGTGTGTGTGTGTATATATATAAAAAAAAAAAAAAGAAAGATAATGCAAAAAAATATATATTACAATCATATTATTTTGTTTGTTTGTTTTTTTTTGTTTACTTGCTTGCTTTTTTTTTCTTTCGATTAATAAACCGTCTCGTAATTGTTTTTCGTTTTTTTTTTTTTGGTTTGTTATAAATACGTATTTAAATTTTTCTTTCTTTTTTTTTTTATACTTTTCTTTGTTTTTCTTTTGTTTAATTAATAATGACGCTAAGCGCATTAAATAATTTTCTTATATCTTTTGCACGTTTTCAAAGTTACACATCCAACGAGAGACGACGCATCATCCTCGTGGAATTTACATATTTTCTGGATTTTTATTATTATATAATTAATAATTATTATTATTAAAATGTTACAAGCTTTCGTATTATTCATTATTATTCCTGTCTTTAAAGACAACTCTTTTTCTTTCTCTTTCTATATATATATATATCTATCTATCTATCTATTTATTTATTTATTTATATTTATATATTTATTATGATTTGAAATTAATTTTATTATTATAACGTTGCTTTTATAATAGCAGCGAAAGATTGTTTAATATGTTTTTTTGTTTTCTTTTCTTTTTTCTTTTTCTTTTATTCCCCCTGTTAATTTTTTCTTCTTCTTCTTCTTCTTCTTTATCTCCCCCTTATCTAAACAATTTAATTTGAACTAAAAAAAAAAAGAAGATTGTATAAATAGATTAATTCAAAGCAGTAGATGTCAACACAGCTACACCTCTCTCGTAAAAGCTGTGAGGGTCTTGACTAGGAGCGATATTTAAATCAACGGTGAAAAGTAATTCAGTACGAGTACTATTTAAATATACTGGTAGAGATAATTTTCCTTTTCTAGCTTCCTCCGTTGACGATCTTATCCACCTTAACATGGTTACTGGCAAATCTGTCATAATGGTAGACGTAAGATACAATTGATTATCTCTACATTGTGCTCCTTGTAATTTTAAGCCGGTTACTGCGAACGAACAATCATCCGTTGCTATGTTATCACCGTCACCAATCGTTACATCCAATTGTAACTCTTCGAGTGACCAACTGTTAGCCTGTGCTATGCATTGTCGCGTTGCGGTAATGTAAGCTTCAGGATTTAACAAACCACCAAGCCAAACAGGAAAACTCTGTTGATAAAATGAAGATTGTTGATAAAATGAGAAATAAATAAATAAATGTATACAACAACCAACCTTTATTTCTTTGGCTCCACCTTGCGAAACCAATCGTGATACTTCTTGCAATTGAGATACTCTATGACTAAAATCAGTTATCCACTGTATCACGGTGCAACCTCTTGGAACGGTATACCTTCTCCAACCACCTGGTAAAATACCTTTAACCAGTTCGGATAACATTGTTCTGTGGTAATTTGTTTGTTTCTTTTCACCCTATTCAACAACAAAATAAATTATTGTTAACTAACGTTAGCTCGTAATCCATTTCGTTAATTATATTAAAAATATGATTAATAATAATAATACCTGACAAATTAATACAATATCTTCCAAGTCATGAATAACATCCTGCAATAATTTAGCTCCACTGTTAACTTCCCGTTCGAAATATCTGTACAAAGGATCCTTGATATTTTCCACAGTCCTCTTAAGAGTTGGTAAATTCTTTGGCAACAATTGCAACCAGGTGGACGCTGAATTATGTAGAGTTCTCATCCAAGATGGACGACCATCGGCTTCAGCTTCTCTGCTAGGTGTGACCAATGATTCCTCGTTGGAGTACGCTAATTCGTCCTCGTCTTCTAATTGTTGCATTTTGAGTAATTTAGATATTAAATCTGTTCCCCTAGTCGTTAGAAGTACTTTTTCAGCATTGTTAGGTAATCCAAGCCAAGAAGGTGTTTGTCTATCAGCTAACGATTCAATCCACTTAAGGAAATGATCTCGTCTGGTGCCATCCGGCATTGTAATGTGTCTTGGACTTCCTTGTTGAGCTCCGTCTACGTTAGCGACCAATGCAAAGTCTGCTTCAAATGAACGCGGAGTGAACAGTTTTCGTAGGAATGATGTAAGGAGTCTTTGATCGTAATCGTTATCAATTTTACCACCATATATACATTGAGATAACAGTGTAACCAAAGCATCCCAAGGTACCTTTTCTGGTGGTAAATTGGTTCTACCCATAGCTGTAGTTTCTATCCAAGTATCGAGAGTATCACAGGCAACTCTTAAATCACTTTCATTGAACTCGTAATGCTTGGCCCATCCCAGGGGTGCGTATCGAAGACGTTCTTGAACAATAGCATGGAACCATGCAAGAAGGAAGTAAAGTCTAGCTCTTTCGTTAGGTGCTTTCATCATACGAGATGCTGGAACTGTGCTGAACGTTCGAAGTAAGTTTGCTCTAATACCAGGTGGTGGTTCAAAGACGAAGATCCTACCAGCTCTTAATAAATTAACTGGTACTTTCGGGTTGACTTCCATCGTTAAGAACAAACGGAAACTGGCATGTGGTTGC